TCTCTTTATATGAGCTCTATTACGAACAATTTTTTCCTCCGACGACCCCCCTTGATATTTTGTGAGGTGGTAGGAGAACGCCTTGGGGTGTCACAAAAAACTCGGCATATCTGGGAAAACTTCGTAAAGGGGTCAAAACTGACCAGTTGTATTTCCCTATATAATCTTTGTATTTTATGGGAAAAACATAGGGTCATTTCAACGCAGACTTTAGGGTACTTAAACTCAGTATATCTGGCTAATTTTTTGCATACTCTTAGGTAAATGGCTTGACCTTTAGGGAAAACTGTCGGTTTCACTCAAAGCCCTCGACGAGGGCTAAAAAGTGACCGCGAGTGAAATTCTCTTTATATGAGCTCTATTACGAAAAAATTTTTCCTCCGACGACCCCCCTTGATATTTTGTGAGGTGGTAGGAGAACGCCTTGGGGTGTCACAAAAAACTCGGCATATCTGGGAAAACTTCGTAAAGGGGTCAAAACTGACCAGTCGTATTTCCCTATATAATCTTTGTATTTTATGGGAAAAACAGGGTAATTTCAACACAATTTTTACGTTACTTAACCTCTGTACATCATGCTAATGTTTTGCATACACTTCTATAGATGACTAGGCCGTATGGAAAAACTGTTGGTCAGACTCAAAGCCCTCGACCAGTGCTAAAAGATGACCGCGAGTTAAATTCTCCTTATATGAGATATATATAAATAAATTGACGATCGATCCCCTTAATATTATTTGAGGTCGTAGACCGACCCTGGAGGGTAACAAAAAAACTTTATTCCCGTCGGAAAAAGCCATTGTATACGTTAAATATGTTTATATATCGTATTTTCTTATATAAGCATAGTAACTGTTTAAAAAAAAAAGTAAACACTGACATACGTCATTCGGTTAATTTTCAAGGGAGGTAACCTTTTTAAATAATTATTTTTCAAATAATTGTATACTATTTTAAACAGAAACAGAAAACGACAAAGTATAGCATTTGTTTTAAAAAAAATAAAGTTGTTAATTAAGCTACGTATCATAATTAAATAAAAAAATAATTTTAAAAGTCAATGTAATATAAATTGTGAGATATACTGTTCACGGAACCTCTGTAGTTCTATTTCCATTTTAGTTATAAATTGCGTATTTTCGAAAGCGGATATTAAACAACATACAACATCTTCTCTAAAATTAGCATTACTGTTTAGATTTAAGAACTCCAGGCCTCATCCATCACCAAATAATTAGTATTCAAATTATCAAATGTTTTTGAAAACCTAAGCGAAGCTAGGCAGAATGCCTAGTACATATATATATATACATATACATATATATATATACATATATATATATATATACATATATATATATATATACATATACATATATATATATATATATATATATATATATATATATATATATATATATATATATATATATATATATATATATATATATATATATATATATATATATATATACTAGTAGCAAAAGGGATTATATGTATTTTGAACACATTACGAATCATATTCCCTACATCACATGCTTATGTTCTCCCTATAGATCAGAGTGTTTGTACACAACAACCAGCCTAAGACGGGGTGTATTGTGTTTCATGCAATAGCTCTACCCCCGGGGACCGACAACAACAGTTCAGCCAGGGTCCAATAACACGGCCGCTAAGACACAACATTGCTGTCGGCGGTTGCTCTAGCCAAACACAGGCAATTTCTTTCCATACATATTTGATTACATTAGGGTTCGGCGTATCAATACATGGTTGAAATTGAGTTAAGGTTAGAAGAGTCTTTTTTTTTTTTTAAAATAAAAAATAAATAAAACTCGGAGCTTAATATAAACAATACAGAGCTAATCCTAACGCTTTTGAAGGCAGTATCAGTTTTATCTCTAGTTTTTGTTTAGGGTTTAGACCAGGGGTCGGCAACCTTTTGGGACTGAAGAGCCAAAAGTTACAATTTACCACATTTCACAGTTTTTAAAGAGCCATAAACATTATATTTCAATATTAGTATACTTGATTACGATATATATATATATATATATATATATATATATATATATATATATATATATATATATATATATATATATATATATATATATATATATAAAAATATATATATATAAAGTAGCTTTCAATATGAAATATGTATTCCTATAACATTTTCATTTCAATATTATGATATTATATATATATATATATATATATATATATATATATATATATATATATATATATATATATATATATATATATATACATTTATAAAAAAAATAGCTTAAAATATGAAATAATATTTATTCATATAAAAACATACACATGTTTCGCACAAAACATATTAAAGTAGTTTAGCAAGCTCCGCTCGAAATTAGAAACTTTACATTGTTATTAGATCTAAATCTTTAATTACTGAGTATTGCAGGCTAATATTTTTATGAGTTTTAAAAATAAATTTAAATAATTATTAATATTTGCGCATGGAGCTGAAGAGGCGCATCTTGACATCAAAAGAGCCGCATGCGGCTCGCGAGCCGCAGGTTGCCGACCCCTGGGTTAACACATGAAATCTTGTATAAATATTTTGAGAACCTAATCTCACCTTTAACTTCAGTGAATAATAATAAGGAATTCATTTTATTTAAGCGAAGTTATCTTACATAATTACAAGTTTCGTAATTTAATTAGGGGTATTTTTTCTACTAATATCAATAAACTTTTAAAGGCAGACAAAATTGTTACATACCTTTTATTAATACTTATATAAAAGAAATAAAAATTAACAAGGATTTACATAATTATTATATTTCCACTGGGGTATTAGTATTTTTTGTCAATTTGATAACATAATTTAGTTGTTTCCCTTATTTGTATAAACTAATATATGGGAAGTAAACAAAAAAAACCCAACCCATATAATACATATCTATCCAGTTGCAAGATTGCTGTGTTGTATAGAACAGGGTTCGGCAACATTTTGAGACAGAAGAGCCAAAAGTCACAATTTACAAAATTCCCCACCTTTTAAAATCAAATTCGTAGGGGTGGCGCCCCGGCAGGGAGCGATTTTTTTTATGACAATTAAAGTTGATTGCGGATTGACACTTTTTATTCGGTCGTCATGAAACTTTGTGGAATTGCTGAGAACACTTCAGGAGAGGTTTCTGAAAAAAAAGTCTTATGGGCAGCGCCTGGGAGGGTGCGATTTCCGTCAATACACTTTTTGGCGCCCATAGTTCCAGAGCGGATATGTTAGCACTTGGCATCCCTTAATCGGGCCTCCTGCATAGTGGGTGAAGGGTATTACTATATTCAGCGGCTAAACTGCAACAGGCGCAGCCGCCGGCACCTCGTTGATAGCGCGACTTAATATTAATAAGTGTGTTCCTGTGTTATGACTATGTTAAATTTGTCGGATTTTAAGCTAATTAGTTATTTCTTTGCTTTGACACTAATATCGTTCAGCGTGTAGTAAACCACATTGCGTTTTGACCAATAACTATTTCATAAATTATTTTCTCAAATAAGTACAACATTTTAAAATATATAGGCCTATAATTCACGTGAAACGGGTACCGATGGCTAGTTCTAATACAATAGCGAGTGTTTATTGTTTAAATTTATTATTATCTGGTTCATTACCGAGTATTGCAGACCAATAATTTTATGAGTTTTAAAATAAAATAAAATAATTATTAGTATTTGTGCATGGTGCTGAAGAGCCGCACCTTGACATCAAAAGAGCCGCATGCGGCTCGCGAGCCGCAGGTTGCCGACCCCTGGTTTAGACGAATGTGACGTTTTCAAAAGAGTAATGAGCTTGTTAAATTTTAGTAATTTGTTCTGATGTGAGTGTTAAAAGTTATATTATCAGGAATAATAATCCATACAGTAGAAACGCAACAACAAAAACAATGAATCTTTATCCTATATGTAACAGATCTCTGACATACGTCTAAAATAATCATAAGTCTGCCCTATGGATCGTTCGATCTAAATAAACCGGGAGTGATCTCCCCTAAACTTTCTCGAATATTCTTATATAAAATAAATGGGAACTCGGGCTATAGACATGATTTTTAATACATTTTAAATACTTAATACTTAAAGTTTTAAAAATAGAATAAAATCTCGTAGACAAATTAATTGCACACCAAGTGAACGCCAAATAAAAAAGCGCATAATAGTGCGCAATATTATTAGTACTTTTAAAATTTACATTAGTTTTTTGAGAAATCGGAAGTAGCGTAAAGTACTACTTCCAGTCAACGGAAATTACTCAAAACTTAACAGAAGGTAGAGAATTAGATCGTTTACTTACATGTGAAATTTCATTTATCTATCTGAAATAGTACTCAAGTTATATAGGCTTTTGAAAAATTCAAAGTAGGAAAAGTACCACTTCCGGTTATCGGAAATCGCTCAAAAGTTGATACGGATCTACAATTTTGATAAAATACTTACATATGAAATTTCATCAACCTAGCTGTAACGGTACTCAAGTTATCGTGTTTACACACGGACAGACAGACAGACAGACACACAGACATACGGACAAGATTGCAAAATTATGTTTTTCCGTATCAGTGAGGTGTAAAACGTCGAGATTTGTAAAAATCTCGATTTTTTTTTTGCACGATTACAAGACTTTCTCTTTACTTCGTATATAAAAAGGAACTTAATAAATTGTTTCCATGCAAAAATGCGCAATCGGAAAAATGCACAATGGAAACATGCGCAAACACAAAAAAAATGCGCAAACACAAACTAAATTCTAATACATTTTAGTTTTGTCCTATTTTGAGGAAATATGTTTTACTATGCTACAATGTACATGAAGTCCCTCTCTTTTAATGTCGATAACTACTCGATTTAAAAAAATAAAAATGTACTTTTTTTTGCGCAGTTTTCCCTTGCGCATCGTTCCAGTCACCTTACAATTTCTATGCACTCAAACTCACAGACAAACACACAGCCAAAATACTCACTTCTGTAGTGGTCTATTGTAGCCGCCTCTCGGAGGTACGCCTTCCCGTCCTCGTGAGTCGTGTTAAACAATATGCACGTACGGAGCTGGTTGTTGACGTCAAACGACCGGCAGTCGAAGCCGGTTTGCCGGACACACTCACGGGCGCACGACTCGATGTCCGTGAAGTTGCTGACCACCAGTGATGGGGCTGTGGTCAGTTGGAGCTGGGGCATGCGGGCGAACAGGCTGTGGAATGACTTGAGAAGTTCTGGGGAAGACAAATGGCATTACGTTATACAGGTAAACTTTAAGTCACAAACAGGCTGTGGAATGACTTGAGGAGTTCTGTGGAAGACAAATGGCATTACGTTATACAGGTAAACAAACGTCATGTTTAAGTCACAAACAGGCTGTGGAATGACTTGAGGAGTTCTGTGGAAGACAAATGGCATTACGTTATACAGGTAAACAAACGTCATGTTTAAGTCACAAACAGGCTGTGGAATGACTTGAGGAGTTCTGTGGAAGACAAATGGTATCAAAGTTGTACCAATGTGTCAAACGTAAACAAACGTCATGTTTAAGTCATAAACCCTCGTTTGTTTTATAAACGTCGTTATGTAAAGTGAATTTTCGTTTTTGAACCTGGTGGTCTATGTGGCAAGTGAAGTAGATTTCACCTGTTTCTATGACCTCGGCATATAAATAGATTACCGTCCAGCAGCTTTAAGAATGTTTACATTTACTTGATTTTCGAACCCTGGTACAGATGAGGCTCGTTAGCTGGGGACAGCCATTTTTCTAGAAAATGAAACAAAGGCTATGGACAAAAGCTATAGAAGCAAACCCAAAGAAAATCAGGCTGAAATCGGAGTCAATGGCCTCAATGGCGCATAACCAGAAAAAGATCAGCCATTAGGGTACATGTTTAACTAGTTTGTTCAATTAACCAGGTTTGACTGAAACGTTTTAACACTACTAAAGACATCTTCGTCTTCTAAAATCACCACGGCCACATTAATTACTGGTGTAATCAACAGATGGTTTTTAAAAGGCATCTCTTAGCGAGGGGTAAGGGGGGGGGGTAGGGTACCACCCAAAACTCCTTAAGTTTCAAGCGCAAAATGTCGGAGCAAAATGTCTGAAAGAAGCACTGGAGACTAAACAAAAAAAAATTAAAAAGTAAAAGAGTCCTGTGACTTTACATTTGGAAGTCGAAATCTTGCACATCTTTGAGCCTTTCTCTGAGCCCACTTCAACCACCTATTATCGATTATCGGGTTTTCACATAGCCGCTTTCCACGTAGATCGTAGAAACTAAATTACGTGAATAAAATTTAGTGGCACTGGCTTTAGATCGGGGCTTCCCCATAGACCGACTAAAGGGACACGCCTCCCTCGTGACGTCAGATAATGGGATATAGATATAGAGGAAAAATTGGGGAGTATTCGTGTCAATTTCATTCTAAATCGTCGAGGGAGGGGGTTTGTGAGGGGGACGCCAGATATTATGGGATATATTTGATCGTACTTTTTTTTACTCTGCCTGATTGGTTAAGTGTAATGTAATACTAAACGTTATGTGTTTTATATGTTTCCGTTTATCATATGTTCGAGGGTTTATAGATGTTTATGTAGTTAAATGTAGCGGTAAAGATGCGGTATTATGGGAAACAATAGCGTTGAAAATATGTATACTATTAATATGTATCTGTATTGTCGATGGTCGGCCGTATGTCCAGTCGGTCTTTGCGTTGTTAGCCTTTTTATGATCGGCCTTATATTCAGTTTTTTTTGTAGTCTTATATCCATGTCGGTTTTTAGTCTATGTCGACCATTTGTACATATTGGCCTTTTTGTATGTGGGCCTTTTGTCAATATCGACCTGTTGTTCGGATCCTGATTAAGTTAGTGTTAAAGGGAATTATAAATCACTCTTGTACGATATGGCAGGCACTATGAGATCATCTGTTTCTGTGATTTTAGCCAGTGAAAAGATTATGTAAACACTAAGAAAGGTCGTATTTGGTTTCCACAATTCTCTTACCCACGTGATCTGTGTAGCAACACATCCTCGAACCCTGGGACTGAACCCTAGACTCTCAGATTAGCTACACGTGTAATGGTTGTACTTCTAACGGTCGTTATCTACTTAGGTAAAATGTAAGACTCGCAGGGTTTGTTCTTTGATACCGGACTCTCTTTGGTTGAAGTCAGACCCGATGTCTATTAATAAAAATGTATCTTTCGGGTCAACCCACCAACCCCGATCTTTTAACACATCAACACAAGCCATCGACCCGGCCCTACAACCTGACAACACAACACGACAACACAACACAACACGACACGACAACACAACACAACGCATCAGCCCAACGCACCAACCTATCAACTGACCAACACACCGAAGCCACCAATCCAACCCCTTAACTCAATCCCCGAACCCAACCCGTCGATCCGACTTACAACCCAACCCATCACGAACTAGCTTTTAGACTAAACCCATACTGCCCTATAAACACTTCCTCTGTGGCCTTTATCTAAAAGTATACAGGCCAACCCACCACCACACCAACCCACAACCATCACCCTACTGGACTTTAAAAGTCACAGGAAAAAAAGTCACAGGAAAAAAAGTCACAGGAAAAAAAGTCACAAATATATATTTGCATGATATTTGTTAATACTTTTATGTATATTAAATATTTAGAGAGTGCAAATTAACTTAGGATTAATTAAATGTAATGTGTGTAGGCTGTATACGCATAGTAATTTTTATAATTCATCTAAAAATATTTAGTATGAAGATTATAATTATATTGTAATTATGTTAAACCTAAGATTAGTCGCGTTTGATAGAATGCTCCAAAGTCCACGGTTTTAATCCTGTTTTTTTTTTAAATACCAATATTAAATTACCGTGAAATGGTAAGTTCATCTGACTTGCTGCCCTCAACTCATGGCAACAATAGTTATGTTTAGATGTTTAGTTCAACCACCTTTACTGCCCACATTTATCACGCTCATTACATAACAAAACTTAGGATCAAAACAGAAAGCCGACAAGGTTGGAAGGCTGTCATTGACGCATGACGACAACAACACAAAATATGTTCGGACAATGCCTACTGAGGAGAGGCCGACCAGAGAATAGCCTACGGCAAAATTTGCCTAAATTTCTTTTATAATTAAATTTTTTACCGCGTTTTTAACTAAATACGTAACAAATGTTCAGATTGTTGTGTAAATTATATTAGAATATTTTTACTTACAATTGTTATAAACCATAATGCTTTTAACGTCTATAAATAATTTATGCTATATAAAATACAACCCACAACAATAAACATACAAAATTTTACAATTCTAAACAAATAAATAAAAATATTTCTAAAAATATTTTTGTGACTTTTTTTCTGTGACTTTATTTCTGTGACTTTTTTTCCGATAAAATTTTTCCACTGTGACTTTTTTTCTGTGACTTTTTTTCCTAGCAAAAACTGTGACTTTTTTTCTGTGTTTTTTTTTTCCTGTGACTTTTTTTCCGTTTACCCACAAACCTAACCCCAGCGGCCTTTATCTAAAAGTACACGGGCCAACACCCCTTCCACCTACCACAGGCGTAGCAAGGGAGGAGCGGCGGGTACATATTTCCCAGGGCGCCGATCTAGTGGGCGCCAAAACGAGTTAGGAAAAAAAAATTAAAAGCTCATTTTAGCTGCAGTTTTGTATTATAAATATAAAAATATATTGCGGAAGGGGGGAGGGGGGGGGGGGCGCCAAATTGAAAGTTTATCCCTGGGCGTCTGGAAGGGTTGCTACGCCTCTGCCACCATACCCTAACCCTAACCTCACTGGATTTTATTTAAAAGTATACAGACCACCCCCCCCCCCTCACACACAAACCTCATCCTAATGGAGTTTATATAAAAATATACATGCCATCAACCCCCACCCCCACAGCCCTCACCCCTACCTCTTCGTGTCCACATACCCGACTTCAGTACCGTACACCTCAATAACGGTTTTAATATCCCTCCACCCCCCCCCCCCACCCCCACCCTTACCACCTACGATCACGTGGCCTCTATGGATCAGCTGGGCACCAAATTTAATTAGCCAGCCTTGTGTTTTGGCTAGTCAGACCTGCACGCGCGCTGGGGTGTGAGAGAGTTCGACCCTGTAATTTAAAATCGTAGATGAGTCCTGTGGGTGAGGAGAGGTAGGGGGTGTTATTTCAATTTACGGGCTCGCGATGTACCCCCCCCCCCCTATCTCCCACTGGCAGAAATGAAAAGGTCTTGGGAGAGATAGAAAATACGATTTTTTTTTTGTTCGTCAAGGATGAGGATATTGTTTAAGATGTAGGGGATCGTATGAAATAGTATGGCGAGGTAAGAATATGAAATCATTGACTCTGTCTAGCTGTGTCGTCCCGAGGGGACGGGGGAAATGGACATCGCCCGAGTCAGAGTGGCTCCTCAACCAGGGATCCCCCGGGATGGCTGCCCCGGGACGCGTTTCTATAGTGACCTAATTGAGTTGGCGGTCTGGCGTCGTTCTTTTGTTGAGGGGGATATCTTTGTGGTAGGTCTATAGACGGGGTGTGAGAGGTGAGGGGGGGGGGTGAGGGAGGGGATATCTTCGTGGTAGGTCTATAGACGGGGTGAGAGAGGTGGGGGGGGTGAGGGAGGGATATCTTTGTGGTAGGTCTATAGACGGGGTGAGAGAGGTGGGGGGGGGTGAGGGAGGGGATATCTTTGTGGTAGGTCTATAGACAGGGTGAGTGGGGGGGGGTTGAGGGAGGGGATATCTTTGTGGTAGGTCTATAGACGGGGTGTGAGAGGTGGGGGGCAAGGAGGAAGGGGTGAGGGAGGGGGTATCTTTGTGGTAGGTCTATAGACGGGGTGAGAGAGGTGGGGGGGGGGGGGTGAGGGAGGGGTGAGGGAGGGGGTATCTTTGTGGTAGGTCTTTAGACGGGGTGTGAGTGGTGGGGGTAAGGGAGGGGATACTTTTGTGGCGGTCCATAGATGTGTGTGTGGGGGGGGGGGAGGGGGGTGGCTTCAAGGAGGGAGGGGGGAAAAGTGGCGATACCTTTGTGGTAGATCTATAGACGGGGTGTGAGGGGTGGGGGGCAAGGGGGAGAGGCTATGGAAGGGATACCTCTGTGTAGGTCTATAGATGTGTGTCGGGGTGGCTTCAAGGAGGGAGGGGATAAATTGGGGATACCTCTGTGGTAGGTCCGCACAGAGGGTGTGAGAGATG